CCCACACCTGTGGCTTCCAGCCAAACAAAAGACAGGCATATGAGCTGAACATTTACACCAGGTAGATACACTCCTTGGAGAGAACAATCATGGGAGACTAGAAGGGCAGTGTATGCACAGGGAGACAGCTCAGGGGGCAGGAGGCGTGGGAGGGAAGGACACAGGGAAGAGGTAAGTATGGGGGCGGGGAGTGAAAAGGGAGCTGTTGCATTGTGGAAAATTTCATGCAATGTTATGAAACAAAACGTGCATGAACTACTGTATGGAAAGTGAATTTCCTCTGTAAATTCTCACCCAAATCACAATAGAAATTAAAAAAAAAAAAGCAAAGAAGAATTCAATAGAAGGATAAATGATGAATGAAATGACCTACGAAAAAGCTTGGGAGCTCTGGTGGCATAGTGCCTAAGGCATCTGACTGCTAACCAGAAGGCTGGCAGTTCAAACCCACCAGCCACTCCTTGGAAGGAAGATTGGACAATCTACTTCTATAGAGATACTACCTCAGACACCCAAGGAGGGGTCGCTATTCACAAAGGTACTGTTTCATAAATAAACTATAGCTTATCCACACAATAGAAGATTACATAGCCAGAAAAAGAAAAGAGAGTAAAAAAAAAAACAGAATTAGAGACAGAGACATTTAGGGCATGCTCCAGAGTTGATCATGCTGAGTAAAAGAAGCCGGATACAAAAGGCCACATAGTGCCTGATTCCATTTATATGACATATCCAGAACAGGCGAGTCTATGAAGAGACTGTGTAGATCTAAGGCTGAGGGGGCAGGGCATTGGGGAATGAGTGATTGCTTAATGGTACAAGGTTTCTTTTTTTTTTTTTTTTTTTTTGTGACTTGGGTGAAGATTTACAGAGCAAATTCACTTTCCATACAGCAGTTCACATATGTCTCATGACATTGACTACAATTTCCCACAATGCAACAGCTCCCCTCCCACTTCCTCCCCATAGTTACCTCTTCCCAGTGTCCATCCCAGTGTCCATACACTCCTGCCCCCTGAGCTGTCTCCCTGTGCATAAGCAGCCTTTCTTTCTCCCATGATTGTTCTCTCCAAGGAGTGTATCTACTTGAGGTAAATGTTTAACTCATATGCCTGTACTTTGTTTGGCTGGAAACCACAGGTGTGGGTTCAATTCCAGACCTTAATGGTACAGGGTTTCTTTAGGAGATGATGAAAATCTAGAATTAAACAGTGATTATGGTTGCAAAACCCTATGACTATACTGAAGACCACTGAACTTATACTTTAAATGGGAGAATTTTATCGCACAAAGCTCAATAATGCTGCTACATTTAAAAAATGAAACAGTAAGTTTTAAAAAAGAATAACTAAAAACTGTATCAATATGACCAATCCCCTTGGTGGGCCATAGACACCTTATTTGCATATCCCAGACAACTCCTGTGAGTTTTACACACCTTATTTGCATAGTCCCACCCAATCATTTTATGGGCATTACAAGAAAGACCACATAAAAAGAGAAACCCATTGACCTGCACCCACTATGTCACTTCTTCATACACACACTTTCTCTCAAAATATTACCTAAATTTAAGCTTTTATGACCTTATATTACTTGATGTTCCTGCAGCATCTCACATGGCAACCACTCTTGAGATTTCCCTGTCTGTAACTTTGAAACATATCCTTCTCCATATTTTCTTTCACCTCTCTTGGTCTCCAGCCACTCTTATCTCATCTGTCCCTTCCTTTTCATCCCTCTGAGCAATATCCTCAACCCTCTTCTCACAGTACTTTCCCTGAGCTAATTTAGCCCCATCTCATCAGTGCCATGTGTCCAAACCGTTCCCGTAAGATATATGACTGACTACCCACCTGCCCATCAGGTCTGGATGGCTCACTCCACGTAAAACTGAAAATATCCCCCAGAATAACTCTGACAGCCTTTTCTGACTCAGGGAATGGTTGCCTTTCCCGATCAAGGCCCAGAGAGCAGACTTCACTGGCCGTCCCTGGTTCTCCCCTCTCCCTCACCACCAGCAGCCAACCAGTTACCGCGTCTTCTGCTCCTTTACCGCCTCCGGGACCTACCTTCTCCTCTCTTTTCGCTGGCACTGTTCCATCTAAAATACCCCTTTCTGAGAACACTGTGGTAAGTCTCCCTCTTTTATAGGATAAAGTCCAAGTTCTTAATCTGGTGTTCACAGCCCTCTGTATCTAGTCTCTGCCCATGGCTCTGGCCTCATTTCCTAATATATCCCCACCCTCTTGCATTTCCAAACTCCAGAACTCTACATGCCAGCAACCGTCAAGTGCTCAAAGTTCACCAACATACTAGGCCACTGCAAGCTTTGAAAATTTGCACCTGCTGCCTTCTTTTCCTAGGTTGCCCTTCGGACCTTCATTCACCTCATTCTTTTAAACCTCAGCTTAAGGATCTCTCAATCTCTGAAGCTGTTCTTGGGTGTCCTCAGCTGTGTGTCCCCACACCTTACACAACCTTCTCTCATTATACCTATTAACTGGTTTGTGACCCTGCATATATTTTAATTTATTTTTTACTGTGATCTGGGTGCACGCCTACAGAGCAAATTCACTTTCCACATAGGAGCTCATACACGTTTTGTCTCACGACGTTGGCCGCAATTCCCCCTCCCTCCAGGCACTCACCCCAAGGCGTCTCTGTGCCTTCTACAGGTTTTCTTGCCCATCACACCGCTCGTCCATAGCGTCCTATTAAGTTCTTCCAAAGAAGGACCATCAACAACCCACCTTTACACTCTTAGCAACTACAGTCCAGCAAGCAAGTCGACAGATAAAATTCTGAAATAAGTGAATGCACGAGTAATTCCCCAGAGGAGGCCCAAAGAGCTTAGCTACAGAAGATGCTCGGGAAATAAACACTGAAAAAAAGTCACAGATGGATGGGTGCCTTTCTCTCGTTCCCCTCACAGTCCAGGGTACCAAGGTGGCAGGAGAGAGACTGCAGGTAGGCGGCGAACGAAGCGTCTGAGGGCAGGGAGCACCTCCGTGAGGTTCAGCACCCTCTCGGGGGCGGGGAGTGCCGGTCAGAAGGTCGGGTGGAGAAAGCTTGGGGCGTCCCCTTATTGATCCCCAGGGCTGCGCTCGTCAGGAACGAGCCCGAGAGCCGCACTCACCCAGACCGAAGCCGTCCGGATCCTGGCGGCCATCCCTACGGCCGACTGGGTGCGTCCCGGTCTGGGGGTGGCAGCAGCTGAGGGATGAGGACGGGGCTCCTCGGTACCACCACGCACTCAACCCAAAAAGAGGCTCTTCCCACCTCCACAGAGGGGCGCAAAGCAGCGGGTCAGCCCTTTCCTCGCGGGGCTGGGCCCCGTCCCTCGCTCGGGCACAGAGCTGCCCACCCGCACCAAAACTGCGCCAGGAGTGCGGCAGGAGGGAGGTAGGCAAGGCTGGTTCTGTCCGGGCCCGCCACCTTCAAACTGGAGAGATCCAAGTCCGTCCGGCGCGGTCCCCTCGCTGAAAGGGCAGCAGGAAGACCCGCTGCTTCCACCTCCGGGGTCTACAGAGAGGCATTCTCACCAGATCCTCCCCATCCTCGCTCCTGATTCCGCCGCAGCGCCCGCCCCGGACCTTTCGGCAGACAGTCCTCTCGCCAGATGAGACCAGCCCAGCCCCACGTCAACGCTACAGGGGACAGACGCCGAGGCACACGCCTCTCCCGGGGGACACAGAGCAATGGCGCAGTTATGGACGCATCATTGCGACGTGAGAGCACAACAAACTACAACTCCCAGAAGCCTCTGCTGGAGTTCCTCCAGAGCCGGATTGGCTGCGGCTTGGCCTCTAGCGGCAAAGCGCCTAGCAAAAAGGATGCCTTCTTTCAGGCCAGAAGGAATGATTCTTCTCTAGAGCCTTCAGAGGCTGCATGGCCTGGCCAATACCTTGATTTTGGACTTTTAGCCTCCAGAACTCGAACAAATTTGTTTTAACTCATCCAGCTCGTGGTAATTTGTTACTGCAGCCCCAGGAACCACTGCCTACCAATGCTGGCAAGATCCAAACACCAGCAATTGACACTATTACTAGCATTGACTTGGAGTTGTGGATTTTCTCCTTTTCCGGCAACCCCTGGTTTTACTTACTGAAGTAAAAGTAAAATCAACTTCATTGAGATAAAATTTACCTACAACTGGGTCCTTTTAATCTTTACAAATTTTGATGAGTTTGACAAATGAAATAGTTATGTAACCACCACCACACTCGAAATACAGAAATTTCTATCACACGCCCCCCCCCCCCCGTTTATGTTCTTCCTTGCTTCAGGCAACCATTGATCAGCTTTTCTGTCATAAATTGATCTGCGTTTTACGGAATTTTACAAATGAAATCATATAGTAGTATGTACTCTTTTGTATCTGACCTTTCCTTTTTTTTTTTTGAGATTCTGTCATGCTGTTGAATATAGTTTGTTACTTTTTAGTGCCTAGTAGTATTCCATTGGGAGCTCTGGCAGTGTAGTGCCTAAGGCACTTAACTACTAACCAGAAGTCTGGCGGTTCAAACCCACCAGCCACTCCTCGCAAGCACCGTTGGGCAATCTACTTCCATAGCAATACCACCTCGGAAACCCAAGAAGGGGTGGCTGAGTCCGGTAGGATTCGGCCGCACATAACACATCTATCCACTCCCCTGTTGCAAAATATACACACCATCTATTGTTTATTGTATTTGTGTTACCTCCAGTTTTACACTCACATAAATAATGTTGCTATGAACAGTCACATACACATTTTTGTGTATCCCTAGCAGTAAAATAGCTGGGCTACCTAGGAACTTTATGTTTAGCATGTAGAGGAACTATCAAACAGTTTTCCAAAGTGGCTGCAACATTTTACATTCCCATCAGCAATGTTATGAAGTGGTATCTCATTGTGTTTTTATAAACATTTATCTAATAACTAATGATGTTGAGCATCCTTTCCTGTATTTATTGGCCATTCACGTTTTCCTTTATGAAGCATCTGGTTAATATTTTGCTCATATTTTTGTCTTATAAATAGAGATATTGTTATTGTTAGGTGCCATTGAGCTGTTTCCAACTCATAGCGACCCTACGCACAACAGAACAAAACATGGCATGATCCCGTGTCATCCTCACAATTGCCGCATTGCTTGGATCCATCAACACAGCCACTGTATCAACCCAACTCACTAACAGTCTTCTCGTTTCCCACTGACCCTCCACTTTACCAAGTATGACATCTTTCTCCAGGGATCGGTCCCTTCTGACAACATGACCAAAGTACAAAAGACGAAGTCTGGCCAGTCTTGCTCGTAAGGAGCATTCCAGCTGTACTTCCTCGAAGAAAGATTTCTTTATTCTTCTAGTAGTCCATGATACATTCAGTATTCCTTGACAACATCACAATTCAAATGCACCAATTTTTCTGTGATCTTCCTTATTCATTGTCCAGCTCTCACATACATAGGATGCTCTGAAAATACCAAGGCTTTGGTCAGGCACACTTTGGTCTTCAAAGTGACATATTTGCTCTTTAACACTTTAAAGAGGTCTTTTGCAGCAGATTCACCCAATACAATAGGTCATTTGATTTCCTGACTGTTGCTTCCATGGTGACTGCAGATCCAGTAATAGGAAATCCTTGACAACCTCAAACTTTTCTTCATTCATCATGATGTTCCTTATTGTTCCAGTTGTGAGGGTTTTTATGTTGAGGTGCAATCCACACGGAAAGCTGTAGTCTCCAATCTTCATCAGTAAGTGCTTCAAGTCTTTTCCATTTTCAGCAAGCACATTTGTGTCATCTGCGTATCACAGCTTCTTACTGAGGCTTCCAATCCCAAGACCACATTCTTCTTCATATACTCCAGCGTCTTGGATCATTTGCTCAGCATACAGATCGAATTAAGTATGGTGAAAGCATACAACCTTGATGCACCCCATTCCAAATTATAAATGACTGCCCAGTGGTCTGTTGGTTCCACATGAGCACAAATAAGTGTTCCAGGATTACCAATCTGCATAATATTACCCATAATTTGTTATGATGCGAGCAATCGAATGCAGAGTCAATAAAACACACATAAATATCTTTCTGGTATTCTTTGTTTTCAGTCAAGATCCATCTCACATCATCAATATCCCTTCTTCCACATACTCTTGAATATCTGGAAGTTCCCTGTCAATGCACTGCTGCAACCGGTTTTTAATTATCTTCAAAATTTTACTTGCATGTGATCTTACTGACATTGTTCTGTAATTTCCCCATTCTATTGGATCTCTTTTCTTTGAAATGGGCACAAATATGGATCTCTCCCAGCCGGTTGGCCAGGTAGCTGTCTTCCAAATTTTTTGGCATAAACAAGTGAGCACTTCTAGCATTGCATCTGTTTGTTGAAACATCTCAATGGACATTCTGTCAATTCCTGGAGCATTGTTTTTCACCAACTCCTTCAGTGTAGCTTGGACTTCTTCCTTCTGTATCATCTGTTTTCAATCATATGCTACCTCCTGAAATGGTTGAATGTTGATCAGTTCTTTTCCGTCTAATGACTGTGTATTCCTTCAATCTTCTTTTGATGCTTCCTGCATTGTTCATTATTTTACCCATAAAAGCTTTCAATATTGACAACTCAAAGCTTGAATTTTTTTCCCCTGTTCCTTCAGCTTGAGAAATGCCAAGTGTGTTCTTCCCTTTTGGTTTTCTAACTCCAAGTCTTTACACACTTCATTGTAATGCTTGGTCTTCTCGAGCTGCCATTTGAAATCTTCTGTCCAGTTCTTTCGCTTAATCATTTCTTCCATTTGCTTTAGCTACTCTTCATTCAAGAGCAAGTTTCAGTCTCTTTGGACATCTTTGGCCTTTTCTTTCTTTCCCATTTGTTTAACGACCTTTTACTTTCTTCATGCATGATGTCCTTGATGTCTTCCCACAATTCATTTGGTCTTTGGTCACTGCAATTTAATCCATCAAGTCCATTCTTCAGATGTTCTCTACATTCAGGTGGTATACACACAAGGTCGTATTTTGGCTCTCATGGAGTTAATTTTTCCACTGCTTCAACTTAAATTTGCATATGAGCAATCGATGGCCTGTTACACAGTCAGCCCCTGGCCTCATTCTGACTGATGATATTGAGTTTCTCCATGAAATATTTCCAGATGTAGTCAATTTGGTTCCCATGTAGTACATCTAGTGAGGTCCACATGTATAGCTGCCATTCATGTTGTTGGAAAAGTGTATTTGCAGTGAATAATTCATTGGTCTTGCAAAATTCTATCATGCAGTATCTGGTGTCATTTCCATCGCCAAGGCCAAATTTTCCAACAATCGATGCTTCTTCTGTGTTTTCAATTTTCACATTACAATAACCAGTAATTATCATCTTGATTGCTTGTTAGTCAATTTCAGACTGCAGAAGTTGGTAAAAATCTTTCATTTCTTTGAGTTTAGTAGTTGGTGCATAAATTTGAATAGCAGTAGTATTAACTGGTCTTCTTTGTAGGTGTATGAATATTATCCTATCACTGACAGCCTTGTACTTCAGCATAGATCATTTTTAACAATGAATGCAATGCCATTCCTCTTCAATTTGTCATTCCCAGCATAGTAGACCGTATGATTGTCTAATCCAAATGTCCAAAACCAGTCCATTTTAGCTCAGTAATGTCTAGAATATCAATCATTATACATTCCATTTCATTTTCGACAACCTCCACTTTTCTTAGATTGATGCTTTGTACATTTCACATTCTGATTAGAAATGGCTATTTGCAGTTGTTTTCTTTCTCATCTGAGTCGTGCCACATCAACAAATGAAGGTCTCAAATGCTTACTCTATTCATGCCATTAAGATGCATTCTACGTTGAGGCAGGTCTTCCCCAGTATTATTTTTGAGTGCCTTCCAACCTGATGGGCTCATCTCCTGCCACTGTATCAGACAGTATTTCCCTGTCATTCATAAGGTTTTCTGTAATCAATTTTTTCAGTACTGGACATGCCCACATTCTTCTTTCCAGTCTTAGTCTGTCAGCTCCAATGAAACCTGTCCACTGTAGGTGACCCTGCTGGTATTTGAAATACTGGTAAGACAGCTTCCAGCATCACAGCAACATGCAAGCCATCACAGTACAACACACTGACAGGTGAGTGGTGGATTGAGATATATAGCTTATTTCTATGTTCTGAATACAAGCCCTTCTTCATATACATGTGGCTTGAATATTTACTCATCTTTTAAGCAGCTGAAGCACAGTTCATCATTTTTTCTTTTATGATTTGTACTTTTTGTGATGAAAGAAATCTTTGCCTAGCCCCAGAGTCACAGGATTTTCTCCTATTTTAAATTTTAAGCTTTAACATTTAGGTCTGTGTCGCATTTTGAGTTGGTTTCTGTATATAATGTGAGGAAAGGGCTGAAGTTCCCCTCACCCTCACCCCCAACAACAAATATCTAGTTGTTAGAAGCACCATTCATTGAAAAGGTTATACTTTCTTCATTGAATTCTTTTGGACAGCTTTGTTGGAATTCTGACAATATACATGTAGGTCAGTTTCTGGAATTTGTATCTTGTTTCAATGATCTATATCTAACCTTATGAAAATAGCACAGGCTTTATTAGTGTAGTTTGTTATAGGAATTTTGACATCAGGTAACATAAATCCTCCAACTTTGTTCTTTCAAAAATTGCTTTGGTTATTCTAGGTCCTTTGCATTTTCATATAAATTTCTAATCAGTTTGTCAATTTACACACACAAGTCTGAGGAATTTTGACTGGAATTCCAGTGAATGTAATGATTACAGACTTGCCATCCTAACAATATTTAAATGGAATATTTAGTCTCCCATCCTTGTTCATGGTCTAGCTCTCTACTGGTTTAGACACTTACTATGTATTCTTTATTGTGTTAATTTCTTTCAAAAAGGTTTTATAGTTTTCAGTAAACATTTTATACATTTCATTAATCAGTAAGTATTTCACATTTTGCATGCCATTGTAAATGGAATTATATTTCTAATTTCATCATTTAATTGACATTATGCTGGTATATAGGGGAAAATATCAAGCTTTTTGTATCCTGTGACCTTGCTAAATTCTTTATTATATATATATAGATTTGACCTTTTGAAGAGGAAAAAAAAATCCATCATTTAAGAGATTCTTTTCCTAAATTTTAATGTAATATATGATCTTTAAAAAATTCTGGCAAGAATATCAAAACCAAACTCACTGCCATTGAGTCAATTCTGACTCACAGCCACCTCATGGGGCAGAGTGGCACTTCCCCATAAAATTTTCAAGGCTGTATATCTTTACAGAAGCAGACTGTCCCATCTTTATCCCACGGAGCAGATGGTGGTTTCAAACTGTGAACCGTTTGGTTAGCAGGCCAATTCCTTAAGCACGGTGTCACCAGAACTCCTTTGGTAATAGAAAAGTATAAACAAATACAAAAGTAAACTCCAATTCTCTCCATATGAAGGTTTACCAATCCTAATCAAATGACTTACTGCACAGGGCAAATCTGCTGCAAAAGACCTGTCATTAAAGGGTCAAAACAGCAGAGATATCACTTTGACAACTAAGGTGTGCCTTACCCAAGCCAAAGATTTCCAAGTGGCTCATATACATGCGGCAGCTAGACAATAAATAAGGAAGGCCAAAGAATTGATGCCTTTGGATTATGGTGGAGAAAAATACTGAATATATGATGAACTGCCAGAAGAATGAACTATTCTGTCTTGTAAGAAGTACAGCCTGAATACTCCTTAGATGTGAGGATGGTGAGATTTCATCTCAAGTTATCAAGAAGACCCAGTCCCTAAGGGACTCCATGCTTGGTATGGTAGAGGGCCAGAGGGGGAAAAAAAAAAAAAAAAAGAAGACCCTCAAAGATATGGGCTCATCCAGTGCAAGAATGGACTCAAACACAGCAATGAGTGCAAGGCTGGTACAGGACTGGGCAGTGTTTCATTCTGTCGTACACAGGGTTGCTAGGAGTTAGAACTGACTCTACGGCATCTAACAACAATCTCTTTAAAAAGTTTTTTCAGTTTTTAGCAAGATTCATTTCAGTTTTTTACAATGCATTTATTTTCACATATTTGAGTTTACTCCAGATTAACACTTATCATGCTTTTTTCATAGCAAATGATGACATCCACATTTTTCCTGTTACCACTTTCTGTCAATGTTATTTTACAGTCTTCATATGTTCCATTACAAGGATATGCCACAAATAATGAATATACTACTGCAGCTTTTAATTCTGCACAACTGTAAGTATGTTTCTGTAATCATCCATAGTCATATGTCTCTGTCTATATTAGAAAGGTGGTCCTTAGAGGGTTAATAACAAAAATAGCTAATACCTATAGCAATTAATATGTTCCAGGCACTGTTTTAAGTGCTTCGTACATATAATCTCAATCTCCACAGTAACTCTATGAGGTAGATACTAGCCAAAAAAAAAAAAAAAAACACCAAACTCACTGCCTTCGAGCCAATTCAACTCATAGCGACCCCTCCTTGGGTTTCCAAGGCAGTATCTCTATGGAAGTAGATTGCCCAATCTTCCTTCCGAGGAGTGGCTGGTGGGTTTGAAATGCCAGCCTTCTGGTTAGCAGTCAAATGCCTTAGGCATTACACCCTCATAATACAGTAGAGGTAACTGGGCCACAGGTTGTCAAAGAGGTCCAGTTAAGAGGGTACTCTTAGTCCAATTGAAGAACCACTGCTTATAATGAAATCATATTTGACAGGACTATGTTAAGAGTGATATGTAAGCACTGAGAAGAGAAGCAGTAACTGAGAAGCTGGAATCTAGTTCTAGCTCTAACTTGCCTCAAAGTGTAAGACCTGGGCAATTCACTGTATCTCAACTGTACAATGAAGGTATGACTTAGATGGTCTCTTATGCTCCTTCTAATTCTCTAGTCTTATGATTCTAACAATCGTTTTTAGACTTTGACTCCAAGAGGCTTTAAGATCTCTGTCCTGTTGGCCTTAATATTATTCATGTATCATTCAACAGTCAACCCTTAAATACCCATTGTATGTGCTAGAAAATGGCAAATCAAAGCCAGCCATACACACGGGAGATCCACTTATAAAACAAAACAGAGAATTAAAATAGATGCTCTTCCTAAATTTCTTTATTGTGTCACAGACTAACCAGTGTCTGATGATCTGGATCCTCTCTCTAAAAGAGAACATCTCTGTACGAATGGATCAATTTTTCATACAAAATTAAAAAGTTTATTGACCTTAGAAATGAATCCATACATCCACTATAGGTCAATGATTCCCCACATTGATATGTCCAGATTTAGGCAAAAAAGGGAGAACATGTGCCAATGGTAAGGGAGAATTCACTGAGTTCTTACAAATATTCAGACAAGTTTCAATGAAATTATAGACAATAGGATGTAGAAATAATATTTATGATTACAGCTAATAATTACAACACACTTAATACTTGTCAGGCACTATTCTAATGTGCTTACTTGTTTAATACTCACCACAATCCTAGGGGGTGTATCTGTAAGTTAGGGACAAAGAAGCTAAGTACTAAGTCCAAGACCACCTGTCAGAGGAAACGTGGGATTTCAACCTGGGGAGTTTCGCTCAGTCTGTGCTCCCACCCACTATCTCTTCTCTAGAACAATAAAAGGCCATGTTGAAGAGTGGGCTGGGGCAGTGCTGCATTTATGTTATGAGGACACTTGTTCTAAGTACTGCACAAGTACATGCTACCACTCAAATGGGACCCTCCCTGTTCAAATGCCCAATGTTTCCTCTAGGTCCCAATATCCAGCAAATGGCTGCATTTTTAAATTCTCAGGGGCCTTTATCAACATGTCCCAAGTAGACTATGAGCCAAAACAACTTAGAATTAATGGAAAAGTTCACAAGCAACTTTTGAAGGTAGAATACACTGGACATTCTTTTCTTAAGTTTTTCAAAAATAATTGGTAGAACACTGAATAAACCATAAAAAAGAAACACACTCATAATTCCATTATCTAAAAAAATCAATTCAGTTCACTTATATATAGACACTCTTTCAATTCTTGCCACATGCAAATACATTTAAAAATCTATATAGCTAGTAATGTGAATATGGTTTTTTAACTGCATTAGATTATAAGCATTTTCCCTGTTGCTAACCAAACTGTGATTTATATTAGACACATAAAACAGATTAGAAACTACTGAGTGGCCCAGAGGAGACGGACAATCATGTAAACAATGGCACGCCCTCTCATTGGAATAATACTGTCCATATTTTGTGATAATTTCTCTATTTTTCGCTCTTCTCAGCAACAACTCTCCCTATAGCAACATTCTCCTTTGTCTATATTTCTGATGAGGGAGTAAAGCTAGGTCACCTCTTAACAAAAACTCACCAACTTAATGATTCCTTCTAAGATTCAAGCCAATTCCTTTTGTAGAAATTTGTGAGAAGAAGAAAATTCAATGTAATTTACTGAAAAGTAATTTCTGAGGTTTTTTTTTCCCTTTCATTTTGTTGTTTTACTCTAGAATGTTCTGTAGTGCACACCAGGGGTGGTAACAACATTGAAGACATTTTCACACACATTCCATTTATATAGCTCTCTCCAGAATGAGTTATCTGATGCAAAACAAAGTTACTGCTCTTTGTGAAGAACATCCCACACTCTATCAGTAATTGCTTTCTCCAGTGTGACTTGTCTGGTACCTACCAAGGGTAGAGCTATTAACAAGAGCCGTCCCACATTGACTGCATGTTGAGAACTTCTCTCCAGTGTGAGCTATTTGATGAACTATAAAAGGAGAGTTCTGGCTGAAGATAATTCCACACTGACTGCATTTAAAGGTGTCTTCTCCAACATGAACTCGTTGGTGCTTAATAAGATCATTCTTGCGGATGAAGGCTTTCCCACACTGACAGCATTCATATGGTTTCTCTCCAGTATGGATTCTCTGGTGGACAATGAGTGCAGAGCTCTGACTGAAGGATTTACCACAATCATGACATTCATAGGGTTTTTCTCCAGTATGGGTTCTCTGATGTGAAAAAAGGTGAGAGCTTCGACTAAAGCATTTCCCACAATCTTTGCACTCAAAGGGCTTCAGTCCAGTGTGAGTTCTATGATGCACAACGAGATGAGACCTCTGACTGTAAGACTTACCACACTCATTACATTCGTAAGGTCTAACCCTAACGTGCGTTCTCTGGTGCAGAATGAGGTGTGTGCTCTGTCTAAAAGATTTCCCACATTCAGGACACTCATAGGGTTTCTCTCCAGTGTGGGTTCTCTGATGCCTAATAAGCCTGGAGCTATGAACAAAAGCTTTTCCACACTGATTACATGTATACAGTTTGTCTCCTGTGTGAGTTCTCTGATGTGTAACAAGGTGAGAGAACCAGCTGAAGCACTTTCCACACTCTTTACACTCATAGGGCTCCTCACCAGTATGAGTCTTTTGGTGTCCTATGAGGTGAGAACTCCGACTGAAGGATTTCCCACACTCTTTACACTCATAGGGCTTCTCCCCAGTATGAATAAGTTGGTGCCTGGTAAGATTAGAACGCCAACTGAAGAACTTTCCACATTCTTTACATTCGTAGGGTTTCTCTCTATGTATTCCCTTCGATATGCCAAGGGAAGTACCATGGGTAAGAGAGCCATCAGTGTCAGGGCATTTGTACAGTTTACCTCCCGTCTGACTTCTTGCAAACTGAATAAGGTGAAGGTTTTGACAGAACGTTTGATCACATTCACTATTGCAACTTGCATAGTTTTCTTGATGACCACTAAAAACTAAATTATGCTTTAAAGTTTTAATATGTGAGTCATGTTTATGGAAATACTCTCTCAGCGCTAGCTGAGCAGGGAGAAGACCATTTTCTCCATAGTTGCCACCGTCGCAGACTCTTTCTGGAGTAAGTACTTTCTTCTGCGTGAACACCACTTGCCTCATGTGTTTCTCCTGGTTTTCCCGATACTTTTCCAACTGGTCTTCACATTTCCAGACTTCTTCTAATGATAAATACCAAAGCTCATCCCTTGCCATTCCTGCCATCTTAATGTCATAGCACTGTTTATCTTCAAAAACGCTCTTATTAGATATTGATGATTTAATTTCCACTGCAGTCTCTGAATCTGAAAGAATAAGAAAGCTTTCGGTAACTAAAGAAAGTATTAAGGTAAAACAGTGGGATGTGTGTAGGGGCGAAATGTATAGAGCTACTTTCAAATATTATTTGTAAACCTGAGAGAGAATAAGAAAGGGAAGGATGGGACATTGAACAGAAAATGCATCAGGGCAAACAATACACAAAGAGACAAAGAGAACAAAGAACCACCACATGACTGAGCTGTGATAAGGGGGACCAGAGTCCTACTGTCTAATTTCAATATTAAGGGTATCTGATGCTAACACGTTGCCTCCAGCTCCATACCCTGATATTCATTCTTCACACTACTGCCAGCAACATTCCTCAGGCAAAATGTCCCATTTTCCTTCCATGGTCCAAAAGCAGTTGATTAGTCAAACCATAACAGTGTATTCAAAGACTTGCCCTTGACACAGAAATGTGATAGTCTCCTACAAGGCTAAGCAGAACAGAGTTTAAACCTGCCTAGGACAGTGCTCCAAAGCTACACGGTAGAGATAAACTAAGTGGAGGCTCAGCAAAGGAAGGGACCTGTATTTCCTGGAAAATTCATAAAAGGTTTCAGAAACAAAGGACTTGAGGGTAGACTTAGAGGTAAAACTCAGGTTTCACTTACATTACATCAAAGCCCAAGATACAGGGAAATGCCGGGCATGTGTAGGCATTAGGCAACAGATGAACAGAAGGAAACAAATATAAGTTACTAAGATATGTTTATACTGTACTGGGCTTGGGAAGCTATATGTTCTGTAGGAACCTACATGGGGCCACTGGTAAGTGCATATCTGTTCTGCACCATGAGAAGTGGGTCATTTCCAGTATATGATTCAGATAGGAATATCTATGACGGCTAAGAAGAGAGAAAGAAGTCAGAGTATTTACACTGGAAACAAAAGATCACTTATTGATAGTAAAAGTCTCTGGGTGGTACAAAATGTTAACCACTTGGCTGCTAACTGAAAGGTTGGTGGTTCAAGTCCACCCAAAGGACTTCCAAAATTTCTGCCACAGAAAATCCTATGGAACACAGTTCTACTTTCCTACACATAGGGTTGCCATGAGTCAGAATCAACTCAACAACAATTGGTTTTAATAAAGGTGTGAAAAGATAAATTGGTAAACCTAGAAGGCTGCTTCCATTTAGGTATAGCTAGCCAGAAGAAAGGTGGGCAAAGGAATTATGTCAAGAAGCCACCTAATGACTTATGTTCTAGAAGTACTATGATGAAAATGGAAAAAGTTGAACAAACAATACATACGGACTCATAGAATAGTGAGAAAGTTAAGTGTTTTTCAGAACAACGATTCCAGAAAGGAAGGTAATTTAAAACAATGAGAATTCACAAGCTCTTCAAGGCAGTGTTCAAACTGGCCCCCAAAAAAACTCTCAGGAAAGCAGTAGGTGATGCAGTGCAGAGCTCACCCAGGGGCTGCTGGGAAAAAACACATGAAGGGAAAACAGAGGCAACTATGGACGGAATGATCTGTGAAAAGTGAGAGTAGCTGGAAGGGTGGGATGTGTTGCTAAAGAGGTACTGAGATCTTGTCTGGGGGTGAAAGTCTTCTGGAAACAGGCAGTAGTAAGGGTTGCACAAGATGTCAAATATAATTAACGTCACTGAATTGTTCACTTAAAAATGGTGAAAACGTCAATTCAAATAGATAAATCACACACACACACACACACACAAATATATAATCTGCCACAATAAAAAAAAGGGATCATTCACTCAAACAAAGCAAGATGCTCAAAAATAAATAAGGAGTGAGAAAATAAATTCTTTTGAAAGGAAATTTGAACTATGGAGAGAATATTTTGAAAAATGATACTATGAAAGGTTTCTATTGTTACATGATATTATGGTTAAAAACTGTGTATTACCAACATTACACATTTTACAAAAGAAAAACAAAAGGGAGACAAAAGGGACAGGGCTGGGGAAGGAAGGAGGACCCCACCAGTCAATGGCCACGGTGCCTGCAGAAAGCTGGAGCTCTTCAGAATGCAATTTGAAAACCACATATATCCTCCAGTCCTTTCATTTTAAAAAAGAACAAACTAATGTCCAGAAATGTAGGATGATTTCATCTGATTCTTCCACAGGCTACTGAGTCATGACTGTAGCCTAAATTTCCCAATTTTCAAATTTCTTCTTTGCTTTTTTAATGTCTTTATAATTCCATCATATATTTGCTTTAAACTGTACTAATTATCCACACACTAAAAAGTTCTTTAAGAAATCATGATTTAGAAGTTGCAGTGAGATGAACTGCATTTATACAGCCTTCCTGCCATGGTCTTGTAACTCCTACCAACTGACTGGGTGGGACTATGCAAATAAGGTGCAGTAGCCAACCAAGTGGATTGGATCAAGCCCAAACCAAACCCACTATCCCTGACCAACGCTATAGGACACAAGAGAACTGCCCCTATAGAGTTTCCAAGACTGTAAAATTTTATGAAAGTAAGACTGCCACATCTTTCTCCCGCAGAGTGGCTGGTGGATTTGAACCACGGAACTTCTAGTTAGCAGCTAAGAGGTTAACCACTGTACCACTATGTATCCTCTGGGGATTAAAGAGCTTGATAATTAATACAAATAAGGTGCATGGGACCCTACTAAGGGGACTGGTCAGTTTGTCATCCCACTAGGCTTAAATGAGCTACCCCATAAATGGAAAGATGATATGAGAATGGAGTGTGTCCTTTGGACCTGGAGTACTTCCTAGGCCCAGGAGACAGTGAGAGAGAGAGCTGTAACGCCAGAAACAATGCAAGATAGCAAGAAACAGCAGCAGAGAAACGGTGGCAGCAGAACCAGGAGACAAGCATGAGAGGCACAGTGATCACTCCAGCCAATGAAAGAAGATGGCTGCAGAAGGTGTGCTGACCCAAAGTGAGAGAGCTGAGTGCCTTTGGCCAGGAGACTTCCTGGCAGAGTGGGATGCCCCCAGGCACTTACTGGAAGAGCTAGAGCCTTTCCACATTTGCTGAGTAAGGCAGAGGCCAGGCCAAGGGCTGCGGGACCTAGAAGCTGAGGACGAGAGAGAAGCCTGTGGGAATGACTGAGAAGAAGCTGTCCTGATCTAAGATCTGCATCCTGAGTCACTTCTGATCTTTAATTATAACATGTTACTTCCCTAATAAACCTCATCATCTTAAGTACTGTCTGTGAGTTCTGTGTAGGTGCTACAGAGAATTATCAAACCCAGCAGAGAAGTGGAGAGTGCTGTGGAAGGGATGGCTGCTGTCAGAATTGGTAAAAAGTCTGAAGGGTGGAGGTATGTCTGACTTCCACCTCACAGGAATCAGCCTTGGGTTGTTGATAATGACTCTCCTCTGACATTGTGAAGTTACACAAGGAGGTCCATAGACCCAACACCATTTTTCACAGAACTCTTTCCATTATTTCAATAAACGTTTATGATCTTTCACCGCTCAAGTGTTCTTTACACATACTGTCCTCAGCTACATGTAGAATTTGGGGTACAAAGACACAATGGGTTATTCTATTCTAGGGAGAACAGTATGCTGGCTAAGTACCTAGACAGAAAGAGAGAGAGAGACCATGAATCAGAATCAATGACTATGAGGTTGCTAGAGGTGGTGGTAAGGAGTCCCTGGCTGGTACAAACAGTGAAGCACTCAACTAAGGCTGGCGGTTCAACCCTACTGCGCTGCAGTAACTACCCAGTGTGGCTTTTCTAGCCAGAAGTCTTTGTAAACTCCATGGTGGAATTTGCTGTGAGAAACTGAGTAGCTTCTGATTGTGAAAATCATCCGCCTGGGGTATTTCTGTTGGGAGCACCACAAAGTAACATTCTGGCAAGTTCGCTCTCTCTTAGGTGCTTAGAATTCTGATGTTACAACTGGCTAATTTGGCCATTCTGTCAGGCTCAGAAGGAGGCCTCCTAGACGCAGAAGTCTCTCCGACTGCTGGCTGAGAAGGACATGCTGCTGAAAGAGACATCCGCTGCTTGGGAAGAGACGCAAGAGACACGCATTGCTGAGTGAGACACCGAGGGAACAGTGGGAGAGAGACTATGAGAGACTGTTGGCTGAGAGATGGCGGGCTGAGAGAGACTGAGCATTTTTCCTGAACTGGAATTGTAGCCTGGTGCTTCCCTAACAAACCCCATAATCTGTGAGTTCTGTGTGGCCACTGCAGTGAATTATCGAACCCAGCAGAAAGGTGGTGAGTGTGTGGGAGGAACGGTTAGTGTTAGAATTGGTGAAAGGGCTGGAGGGAGGCAGCAGGTCTGGTCTCGCAGGGATAGGCCTTGGGCTATTGATGGTGACTCTGTCTTCCTGTTGTACGGTTAGAGGAGGTCAGAAGATGCAGCCTCCTTGCCTTTTTGGCACCTACCCAGAGGTCCCTTGGGAGAAAAGCCCAGTAATCTGATTCCAAAGTTTGGAATGCCCTATGGAGTGCGGCTCTCCTCTGCCACAAGTGGGGTCAGCGTGAGTCAGAGCTAACTGACCACACCTGGTTTTAGAGTTCATGGTAATAATCAGGAAAGCAATATGGAAAGGGCTGAAACCAAGCACACTTAGAGAAAAACAAACTAAATGGATAACTAAGGCACCAATAACAAACAATGGTAAGGATGTGGGGAGATTAAATCCCTTATCCATTGCCGGTGGGAATCCAAAATACTGCGGCCATTGTGCAAAACAGTGTGGCATGTTTTAAAAAACTGAAAATACACCATATGACCCAGCAATTCCACTCCTAAGTATATACCCAAAAGACCTGAAAGCAGAGACTCAAGTTGATACTTCTACACCAATATACATTGCAGCCCTATGTACAGCAGCCAAAAAGGTGGAAACAATGTAAATGACCACCACCATTGACTGGATAAACAAAACGTGGTGCATACATACAATGGAATAGTCAGGATTAAGAGAAATGAAGCCACATGGTTGGAGCTTGAAGGCATTATGCAGAGTTAAATAAATCAATCACAATAGGACAAATACCATATGACTTCACATATATAAAATAGACAAGAACAGGCCAATGTATAAAGACCAAAATTTCTTAGTGGTTACACCAGAGGAGGGAGGGAGAGGGAAAGGGGGTTATTGCTTATGGAAGACTGAAGTCAGCTTACGGTGATGGAAAAATCACCGTATTAAGAACAGGATTGTCTAGCCAATTATCTTAACTGCTATTATTAAGTTGCAGACCTGTAAAAAGTTGAATTGGCAAAAGTTGTGTGACAGCTACCTTTACAACAATGACAGAAAAAGGAAAGAGTAGGAGCTAAGGTGCTTATGTACAACCAAACACCTCATGGGATTTTTTGATTCCTTGGTTTGGAGGTTTACGGTCATAGTTTTATGGGATATCTCAGTTAACTGTCCTAGTAACATGTTTGTTGTACAGTACTTGGGGTCCTAACAGCTTTCAAGTGGCCAGTCAAGGTACAACAATGGTTCCCTATACACCTGGAGCAACAGAGGAAGGAGAATCAGGGCTAGAAGGAGGGTATGGAAGGTGTGCTGGCTTACTCCCGTGTCTTTTCTGCCATGAGACCAGAAGAACTGATGGTGCCTGGCCACCATTATTAAACATTTTGATCAAAGAGTACACAGAAGAATCCTGATCAAAAGAGGGGAAAATGTGGCACAGAATTAAAAATTCTCATGGAGCCAAGAGAACTGGATGAACCCTTGAAATTACTGCCCCGAGATAATCTTTAACTCTTAGACCAAAAATATCCCCTGACGTCTTCTTAAAAACAAATAGTTTAGCCTAACTGGTGAAGAATGTCTGCTTTGAGTGTTCTGCTCCTCTAAGATCTGTATGGGGTCAAACCGACAACAGCCCAGTGGAAAGAGTCAACAGATACATTAGGAGGCAGTGAGCTTAGTAATGAGGGAGGAACAACTCAGAAAAGGCGGATGAGAAGCACGATAGCACAACTTGAAAAAGTCACCAAGGTCACTACCCTGTACGTGGAGAGACTTGACCTGGTGTGTCTTCTTCTGTGTATATTCCCAACAACAAAACAACAAAAAAGAAATTATTTAAAAAAAAAAAAGAAAAGATATCTTTATCTATGAATACAAACAGAAGTGTGACAAGAATATAGACTGGAAATGGGGAAACTGGAGGGAAATCTTCTCAGGAAACAAGTACCTGTGAGGAGCGTGAGCTGACGCCATCTTCAGAAGTTCTAGCCCACCAGTGGCCAATGATCCCTGTCTAGTTCTCACCTGTAAAGATCTCTTGGTGAATCTCCATCAGCCATGGCTCTTCACCTTTCTCCAACCGGAGGATGACGTCTGGTTTGGGAAACGGATGCCCTTTTCACAGGAAAAGACAAAGAATTGGGCAAGGGCAGTGGGAGACACAGGCCATAGACAAAGAAGCACCCCAGATCCAAACCCAACCCCTTGGTCCCTAGGGACTATGAAGAGGCAGGCAAGGGGAGGTCCTAAGGCAACAAAAGAAGTATGTACTTTAAAAATTTGACAAAATAAAGTAACTTTTTTTCACAACAGCAGAAGGAATACAGAAACCCTGACTTATGCCCTAAAGAAATTAGGTCCTTGCACCCCAAGCCTACGCTCTGACACATGCTTCAAAGTCTCCACACTTTTCATCAAAGAAGAACCAAACTCTTCATATCAAATGTATCTTCATTCAAAAAGAAATGAATCTTACCCAAGGAAACCAGGTTCTTATAGTTCTCGAGCATGACATGTTTGTACATGATCTGTTGAGCAGTGTTCAGAAGCTTCCACTCCTCCTTGGTGAAGTCCACAAGTACATCCTTAAAAGTCACCAGTGTCTAAAACATCAAACAAATATTGAGCCAGATATGTCTCTTAGCCCTCCCAGTTCTGATACGGGCAGGAAGAGAGGGCAGGCTGACAACACTGGAATGAGTAAAGCGGATGGACTAGAAAGTATTTTAAGAACGAGTAGTATTCATTGTTCTGAGGATTCTTGTTAAGTCTTAAAACAAATGGCTACTATGGACCTAGAGCTAAAAACAAGTTCCATGTTGTGCAGTGGGCGTCCGAAGCACTTTTATTTAAGTCAAGTGTGTGATAAACAGCTAAAGCATAGAGAATCAGACACCAAGAGTTAATCTACTCTTAAAGTGTATGAAATAAAGACAGGAAAAGCAGGACAAAAGTCTTGAGACCAGTTACATCTTAAGGATTTAATACTTAAGAGTCTTACATCCCTAGTTTGGTTTTATGACCTAAAATAATTACCCTAAGTTTTTTCCCACAAACATTGCTAAATACAAAAACTGAGAAGTCAAATGATTATATTTTAGTAGCAAGAAGACAAAAAATTGGACAAAGAAACACAGTAACACAGACGTAAGGCCTCTGTTAGCCATATCTAAAAGGAGTGTTGGTTACATATAGAATAAAGTTATTTGAATGACTGAGGATTTCTCATCAAAGACCACACAGGTCAGAAGAGAGGAGAACAGTATTTCTTAAAGTGCTGAAAGGAGAAACCATCAATCCAGAATTTCTACTTCCGATGGAGATATCCTTCAAGAATGATGCAAAAAACACTCTCGAATGAAGTACAATGAATAGAATTCATTGCCAGCAGACCTGTTCTAAGAAATGCCAAAAGAAGAAAAATGATTCAAAAGGAGAACATGAAATCTCAGGAATGAATGGCTAAGTGTCATTTACAAATACAGTGTTGTTGTTGTTGTTGTGTGCCGTCGAGTCAAACCCGACTCATAGCGACCCCTCCTTGGGTTTCCGAGGCAGTATCACTACGGAAGTAGGATTGCCCAACCTTCCTTCCGAGGAGTGGCTGGTGGGTTTGAACCACCAGCCCTCTGGTTAGCAGGCAAGTGTCTTAGCCACTATGCTACCAGAGCTCAGTAGATCTCTGGTAAACATGTTAGACTAGTTTTCTCCTCTTAAATCCTTTAAACTAGTACGACAATTCACAAAAAGAACCCTACTGCCATCTGGCGGTGGTCTGCAATTTATGTAGAGGTAATACACATGACAGGTATTTCACAAAAGGGGGAAAGTTAAGGGACCCATACGGTCATAAGGCTTTTCTCCACCTCACCGAGAATGTACATTTCATCACTGAGGCACTCTCTAACACAAAGCCTAACCCCCTTGACTTCTCTTCTTTCCATCCATTCAGCTGAGCCCTCCACAGATCAGCCAGACAACACCAGGCCAGGGACTCAGCTCCACCCTCCACGTGCTTCCCCAGATCACTCACGCAGACCAGTGTGAGATCCTCAAGTAAATGGCACAATGAGGCGGAAGGAGCTGAGTCTCCCAGCCTGGACACTCCAAGTTACTCTGCTCCTACAGGCTCCGTCTTCCTCTGGGCTCTTTGAGCCTTGGTTGCACAGTTACTCTCAGATGATTAGATAATTTGGTGCCTTGAGTCCCTCCAAACGGATGCTCCCCAAGGAGGAAGTCCTTTAGACAGTATCACACCCCATGGGCAACAAGGACCAGAGTGACTCTTAAGAAGCACCAAGATTTCCAGTTCTCCAGTTTTAAGGCACCACTCAGGGAAATCCATGAGTAATGAATTAGGGAGACTCTCCCTCACCATCCATCCCTCATGGTAACCATTCTCCCGGACCCCTGATCCACTGATCGAAAGAGGGCAAGCTACCCTCAGGCACCAGTAAAATTAGTGAGAAATGAAAGCAAGGGCCATGCTAGGAATGCAATCTTCAGGAAATAGAGGAGAAGGCTGGGAGAGGAGCCAGGACCCTAGCCGTAACAGAGAGAAGGAACGGGGAGAGCAGGAGACTGGTGTTCTCTTTACTCAACTCACGTTTCCATCTTTTCAATCCTTTCTTTGTTTGGAAGTGGTCAAAGTGCTCAACTGAAAGGCTGGCAGTTGAAACTCACCAGCCACTGCATGGGAGAAAGACGAGGCAGTCTGCTTCCATAAAGATTAAAGCCTTGGAAACCCTACAGGGCAATTCTACTCTGTCCTATACAGTTGCTATAGAGTCACTTGACAGGAATAGCAAATCAAAGTTTGGTTTGACTTTAAGTTCATGATCTCTGTGGGAGGAAGCTTACCATGTACTTAATTCCTTAGTACGGATGAAACAAGACCATCTTGTTTCAAACCCTTGATATTTGCTCACTTGATTCCAACCATGTCATTTATAAATTTAGCTACAAAAAGAAGCAAGCCAAAAAGTCCTAGTCTACTGAAGTGGATACAACTACCTGGGCAAAAGAATGCAGAACTTAAGGAGAAAGGGATTCACAGTCAGAAAAGAAAGAAAGAAGAGGGAAGGCACCGCCCCCAACTCACCCTGCACTGGGCAGTCAGCAACGGGCCTTCCATAGCCTGCTTTCTTGATGACACCTTCTTCAGTAAGGGAGAGTCCAGAAAATGCAAATCTAGGAAAAAGAAAGATGTGTCAGGAAAGTCTGCTATGCCTCAGAGGCTCCCTAACTCATCAGCTAGAAGCCCTCACATACCAGCTAGGTGTAAGCCAAGCAGCCACTACCCAAAGAGTACCATCGGGGGCATTCCAGAAACAACGTGCAACTCCTGAAGTCCCCAGGATCAGTAATCCTTAAGGTCCCTGTCTTCCCTCCTGGTTGCCGAGGTTTCGTGCCAATTTCATTCTGGTACTGAATGGTTCTAATGATACAAGTCATCTTTGTAGGGATGGAAAAGGAATCTCACCTGATCTACCATCCACACATTACAGGTAAGAACACAAATGTTCAGTGAGATGTGACCACCTCACAATCACATCTGATTTTGTCCGTAAGCCTGGACTAGGAGTGAGACCAGGAGTAAAGGTCCAGCCCAACAATCTCACACGAGGCCCCAGAGTCAGGGTTAAAAGGGTGCCTGATGCTGCACCCCACGGGGAGTTTTCCCAGGGCACTGCCCCTACTCCACACAGAGGTCATCTCTATATGAGCTTCTTCTCAGGGCGAAGCATGGAGAGAAGCTGTGCCTCCAAGAGACAACTGGCCCATCGTAGTCCCCAGGCCCCACGACCCTGTGACTTAGCACATTTCCCTCTTTGCTCCAAGAGACAACTGGCCCATTGTATTTTTAGGCCCCATGACCCTGTGACTTCGCACATTTCCCTCTTTGCTTTGGCCACAGGGAAGCCTAAGGTCAAATGTGAGGCCTAGCTACAGCAACTACATTGGATGACACAGTAAACTGTGTCTTGGGACCCTTATCTGTCTTTGTATCCCTAATTCAAAATACTTTACAGTGGCCACCGGGAACAAAATGAATGAAGTCATTAGTGTACGATCAGATGCTGAAAAACAGAGATTTAATCTTTTTCCCTCCCCCACCCTCTCATAGAAAACGACCCCCAATTCTTCAAACACTGTAAACCCTTCTCAAGGTTCACACATACACAGTGCTGACTCTGAAACCCCTCCCGCACACCACAACCTGATTATTTCCAAACAAGGATCAGGAACTCAGAGTCCATTGCATTTCCCATCGCCATGGCAGGGATTTCAGATTCACTCAGGGCCTGGAAACACCCGATCATCTCTGAGCTGGAAGAATCACTGCAGTATCTCACCAGAGGCTGAGGCACCTGAGAGTTGCTTCCCCAGCGCAGCTCCCAGCTCCTTCCTATCCCTTCCTATCAAGCAAACCAGGGGCTTAGCAGGCTCACGAGGCAGGCCGCTGGGTGGTCGCAGCACGCTGCTCTGGCAAAATTGGTGCTTGTTCCCAGGTTTCCAGTACTTTTTGGGCTTAAGCTAAGGACGTTTATGCGCTTTTGATACTAAGTAGAAAAAGAGAATTGGCCACCTCTTAATGCCTTAGCAAGAGAAGCTCTTGTGATGCTATCAAAGGGACTGAACTACTTGCTCAGGGAAAGGAGCTGAGTCCCTAAAAACGGCAGGTAACTCGCACTGTTTCTCTCCCAACCTCCACTTTCTGAAACAGTAACAGGCGCAGACTGGACATTCCAAACACTTTAAATAAATGCGTGTTACAATGCTGAAGTGGCAACAACACAGTCTACACACAAAGTAGGGGAAGATCTACTTATGGACCCTCAAAGTTCTACGAAGAAACTTGGTCCGGAAGGCACATCTCTTCTTTATTTAAATACTGTATTACCTTTGCTGAATTTCCAGAACAATGTTTGTATAAAACACTGAGACGCAGAAGTCCTCATTTAGTTTATGATGTGTATCTCAAATGTCTGCCCTGTTACAGGCACATGTTGAAACTTAAATAAATACGTCCTGAGTGAAGAAATTAAAGAACAAATGAACAATTTTTACGCAGAGGCAGGTGTGTGTGGGATTCAGCATCCAAGAGGCTTTGAAAGATGAAGGGCCAATTATAATGAAAAGGAAAGGCATTAGTTAGGTCACAGGGACGTGCTAGTGTAGTGTGGAGGCAGCTTAAAAGGGGCAGGAGGGGCTGTTCTATCTACAGCTCCCAGATCACGAACAAAGGCACTACCTTCCAGTCGGATCCGACTCATAGCAACCCCTCCCTGGGTTTCCGAAGTGGCATCACTACGGAAGTAGATTGCCCAACCTTCCTTCCGAGGCTGGGTTTGAACCGCCAGTCTTCTGGTTAGCAGTCAAATGCCTTAGACATTATGCCACCAGAGCTCCTACAGCTCCCAGAAAGATCTAATCTAATATCGAGCATCTCTAATCCAACCAAAACTAATTTGGCTGGCATGCTGAGTGATTTCTTGCCTTCTATTTTACTGCCTTTTAAAAAAAATTTTTTTAAACAGCTATTAACGTACAGCTAGAGTTGGAACTCTTACCTTCTCCGTACTCTTTGGATGGG